TTCTATTAGGTTTATGGTGGATCTGCCTTGATGGCATGCTCATCAATGTTTAACAACCAGCTCTCCAGGAGGAGAAAACATATATACAACATACTTTTAAGTTTACCCTGAATTATTGACATTTTCTCCATGACTTTCTTAAGTCTAGACAATCAACAGAACAATAAGTCCAATCCTGATTTGTAGCTTTTGCTGATTTCCAAGGTGTAAATGGCTCATACTGAAAATTTAACAATCCTGAGATAGTTTCCATAGGCTCCAGCACATCCCTGGTCTGCCTCCTGCCCACCCTAAAAGCTTTTCTGTCATTTCAATCTTCCTGTTCTGCACAAAGCAGAAGAAAGGAAGTTTAAAGGAGTTTTTCTCCAGTCAACTCAATTTAACAAATATTATATTAAGTGTCTCTATGTACCACATAGTGCCCAGGTCTAGGGAAGATACAAAGTTAGGATGAGACAGTGTCTGCCCCCCTGAAGCTTACAGTCTATCAGTGAGATACAAATAACCATCACATAAAACAACATGACCGAGTGCATAAAGAGTAAAGAAGAAAAGGTTACAAAGATAGAAGGGGAAGGGATTAAGGGAGAGCTGACAATCAGTCCTTTTGCACATGTCACTGGATAAAGAAGAAAAGAGCTCCTTCGTTTTTCCTCCTCCAAAGTGAAAGTCACAAAGAAAAAAAGATCTACAAAAATGAAGGAGGCAACGAAGGAACAGTTGAGTAAGAAACAAGATGACTGCCCAAAAAGTGGAGCAAGACACAGTGTGGAAGGAGAAGCCAGACTTCTGTTATTTTCTAGGCTATATGTAGAGTGAAGAGAGAGCTGTACTTGGAATTCAAAGACCTGGCCCTGCTCCACATTACCTGCCTAACTTCGGGCAATCACATAACTTCCCTGGCCTCTGTTTCCTCATCTGTATGACCTATAATGATGAGGGGAAGACCAAAAGTGATCACGGATAACTGTAAGTAAAGAACAAATGGATAGCACTTAGACGATGCAAAGAACAGAAAAGGAGGCACTGAAAAAGTAAACAGCCATAATGCTAATCAGGAGTGAAAAGAATAGATGGTGTTCGTGATAAACCACCAAAAAACATACTTTAAAAAAAAAGTCAGGCCACCAACTGGATTCTAAAATCATTCCCCCAACTTATAACCCTGGACTATTCTGCCTTCTCTTGGTGCTGCCAAAGAGAAAGGAATGTTCATGCTGGTCACATCCTAAAAAAGTGGAAGAAATACCACCCTCACAACAGATTTGTAGCAGGGGAACAATACTTACTCTTATTTTCCAGCTTGGGCAAATGTCCAGTTTTTCAACCTTTTTTTGGAACAAACTAATACACTAATATTCTTTATGGAAGCAAAAAGGAACACAGCCAAGGATACTCGGACAAAAGAATTGGGAAAAAAGTCATGGGAACTAAAAAGTTCCTAATGATTAGTGTTTTATACTGACGAAAGTCATTCTGCACTGAATGCTAAGATCAGAGGCAGGAGGTGAACCCACCATAAACAAAACATAATAGAGTGCTCCACTAAAGGAGAGCATGAGGTGAGGGGTTGTATGAGTACAGAATTACAGTGACCAACTTAAAAACAAGGTCTGAAAAGAAAGGCAGTAGGACTTGAGGTTACGGAGCTCTTTCTACCCTGCAGAAGGAGGATTTCTAGGTCACTGACAATTTACTGTGGGAACTAGGCATTTCACAACTTCACAAGGCCTCAGTTTCCTCATTTGTAAAAGTGACAAGATGAGAAAAACAATGACTCTAGAGTGTGAATGAGAATCAAGTGAAAAGTGTCTCTGGAAACTTTCAAAACCACAGAAGTTGTTGTATTAATGCAAGGTATAATTCACCTGAGTAAGTCAAAAACATGTTTTGTTCTGTAGTCAAAAATAACATTTAAGTGTGAAAGGCCCTATCTACTCTCTCCAATAACTTAAACTGAGGCTCCTTCAACTTAATGCTTTTTACCAGGACTTCACCAAGCCTAAAAAGCACTCTGGGAAGAGACATTAAAAATGAAAATGCTTTTCAAAGATCAGTATAAGAAAAGAAGCCTCTCGAATATATTTACAAACCACATTCAGCAAATCCATCATCACTGGTCTATGCTAGACTATTTTTCTCCAAGGACTAGCCTAGCTATCACAATAACAAATTTTCCAGAGAAACTTTAAAAGGACCTGCACTAAGTTACAAAGGGACTTCAGTCTGTGTTGGAGGAGGAACCATCCATACCAAATTAATAATTACTAGAAATAGCTAATATAAAACACTTTAAATTGCGAAGTACTTTAATGCATTATATATTTGACTGAAAGGCTATGGGAGAAGAACAGTAAAAGAAAGGACCGGACTGAAAAGAAGAATGGAATTGTAAAGGTGATTGAAAGGGGTTTGGATATATAAATGAGACCGGAATAAATGTGAGGAGAAATGTGAGAGAAATTGAGTAAAGTGGGTGATTTTGAGGTGTTCAGACTTACGAAGAAGGGCACAGATTGAATTTGAGGGAAGAGAAACGTGAGAGAACTTGAGAATAAGATAAAGGAGAATATGAGCTGAAGGAGAAGGAGCTCGTTCTGAATGAAGGCTGCAGCATGGGGAAAAGTGAACACGAGGCTCTGATGAACACATAACATAGTGGTGTGTGAATTAATTAGCACAAAGTAAATTAGTACACAGCTAGGTGGTGAAGTGAATAGATTGCTGGCCCTGGAGTCTGGAAGAATCTTCTTCCTGAGTTCAAAGCCTCTGACACTTAGCAGCTGTGTGACCCTTGGCAAGTCACTTAACCCTGTTTCTCTGAGTTTTCTCATCTGTAAAATGAGCCAGAGAAGGAAATGGCAAACCCCTCTAGTATTTTTGCCAAGAAAACCCCAAATGGGGTCATGAAGAGTCAGATACAGCTGAAAAATGACTAAATATCAACAAAATTAATTAGATTTCTATAACAAACCTTACAACTTTTGCATCTTCAAAAATTTTAACATGCAATATTGTCTCCTTTTGCTGCAATCACGTGTTTTATACAATTCTTCACTGAATTCACAAGATTTTGACACATTCTTTAATTCCTGATCATGAAACCACCCATCATAGTGGATTCTAACTATATCTTTGACAAACAGTTCATTTTTCCAATTCTAGCCTTGTTTAATAGTCTAAGGTTTTCAATGGGGAAAGCTGTTGCTTTTAACCTATTCCCTAACCTAGAATGTAGTGGAAAAATTTGCTGTTTTCACAGTCAGAGGATCTGGGGGTCAAAATCCAGCTCTGCTGCTTCCTACCTTTCTGATCCCAATTGAGGAAGTCATGTCACCAATCTGCTTTCAGTTTCCTAAACTGTAAAATCAAAAAGTTTCACTAAAGGACCTCTATTTCCTGCTGTAAATCTATGAGCTCTACAATCCTAGTTCTAGCCACAGGACAGAAGGTGGGGGGTGGGGGAAAAAATCTGTTGAAGGAATATTCTACCTATGAAACAAATAAGCCTGGGCCTCTTGGAGAAAAAACTGATCTTTTCTAACACATAAAGGTGAAGCCTTAGGCTAGTTTTGTCTTTGAAAGAATGGACAAAAATGATCGACCAGCAAGAGATCGATAACTATTCCTTGAATGAAGGAATGAAGGCTCCGGCAGGCAGAAATAAAATGTTATCGAAAACTTTTTAATCTTTATTGGGCTTCACCAGATAGGTAAGAAACTCGACAGATGTAAAAGAAATATATTAGGGTCCTAGGATGCTGAATTCGGAGGGACGTTGGAGATGAACCAGTCCAGCCTCCTGTGACCCAGAGATTAGGTCACACAGTATAGAAAGGAGCAGAGCTAAGATATGAAGTTAAGTTTTTTGGCATTAAATCAAGCGCTCTTATCCACTCACCACAGCTGGGAAAGCCAGAAGTAAATTATCGCTTCCGCGTCTCAACCTTCCCCAATGAGGTTTTGATATACCACAATTCAGCATACGAAAATAAATGGGAATTTGAAGGGAGTTTTGTGGAAGCCACAGATGGCACTCAAAGGTCAACAGATGACACAGAAGAAGTCTGGAAACTCAAAAGATACATGTGGTATATGTACGGTATTATATAATATCAACCCAAATCTTACAATAAGGTAAACACTCCATAAAAGAAAAAGAAAAAAATTCTTCTCCAGTCTGGAAGGAGGGCCGAAATTTTTTACCTAGATTTTCTAGATCTTGAGGACCATGCCCCTAGCCCCCAGAGATGTGGAAGGGATGGGGGGGGGCTGACGGTAATGCACTGTGAGATGGGGATGGTGCTGCACTGCTAAAGGCCTTGAGTGCCCATACAAAGGAGTTACAGCCGGACTTTTTAAACAATTAAGATTCTTGAGAAGGAGAGTGAAACAATGTTGACAGAGGGAAGATCAGGCTGGAGGCGGCCGAGAGTGAAGGCAGGAAGGCCTGCCGGATGCCCTCCAAACGGCGGGGGGCTGGCACACCCCACTGCGCCGGCTGAAGGAGGGGGGCACGTTCCGCACCAGAGGGGACGTAAAACACAAAAGCTCGCAAGAACAATTAAAAGCCAGAACAACACTATTCCAGCAGCCCGAGAGGTCAGTAATACAGGCTCGTAATGACCTCTCACTCGGTTGATAGAACACATTAAGATTTGCAGACATTTTTTCTTGGTGACAACCCTGAGAAATAAACATTGCGGCATTATCTCCATTTTACAGATGAGGAAACTGAGGCTCAGGTAAATTAAGTAACTTAGCCAGCGTGACAGAGCTAGCAAGACGGGTCAGCTGCTGTGCTGCGGGGGAACAGCAGCGGGGGGGGCTCTAAGACCTTGGCTTCTCTGGAGAGGAAGAATTCTCCCCTTCCCCACCCGGGCCTCGGTTTCCCCGCTTGTCAGATCGGGACTCGCGGGCCCGGAGGGCATCTGAGCCTCCTTCCGGCCCGGGCCTCGGTTTCCCCGCCTGTCGGACCGGGAGGATTCCGGGCTCCTCACCGATGTTGCCTTCGACGGCGATCTTCTTGATACGGGCCCCCTCGGCGCCGGCGGCGGGCGACGGGCAGCTCCTCTTGGGCGGGGTCGCCATGTCGTCTCGTCCGCGGCCGCCGCTGCTTTGACAGGACGCGAGCGCGGGAGGCGCGGGAAAGGCGGGAGACGCCGTCCGCCGGCCTCGTTTGATTTTGGCGCGCCGGCCAGGGGCGGGGCGATAACGTTACGGCGCCACCGCCTCTCGCCCCGCCCCTCGGCGGGCGCTTCCCTCGACCTCCCCCGACCCACTCCGGCCTAAGCCGCGCGCGCACTTTGCGTCAAGAGAACAGGCTGGGGGTGGGGCTGAGCGGTCTCCGGCCACCTCCTCCGCGCGGCCCCTCCCCTTCCCGAGCGAAGGAAGCCTGTCGGAGCACCGAGCAAGGCTGGTTGGAAGCAGCCGATTCCCGAACGATCGATAGACGCGAGCGGAGGGGCGCTCTCCTTGGTAGCCGCGCCTGCGCCGTGGAAGAGAGGCTGGGGGGGAGGGAACAAGCGTAGAGCGCTGGCTGAAGGCGAAGAAGAGCAGAAGAACCGGCCCCGCCCTCTGGGTGCTTACTCTCTAATCCGGAAGACTGGACATAAAAAGGAGCTATTAAAGGAGAGGGAGGGGGCACCTAGGTGGCGCAGTGCATGGAGCTCGCGCCCTGGAGTCACGAGGACTTGAGTTCAAATTTAACCTCAGACACTTGACACTTCCTAGCTGTGTGATCCCGGGCGTGTCACTTAACTCCGCTTGCCTAGCAATTCTTTTTCATCCATACGGATAGGAATCTTACCAGATTCAGCCCAATACTGTCTAGTCTGTCAAAGCCCTTTTGGATCTGTCCTTCCCAATTTGATGTCAGCTGTAAATCTGATAAAATTGCACAGTTACTTCATCCGAGCCACTGATAAGGGTGTTAACTGAGGCAAGACCAAGCCGGCCGCCCGGGCTGCTGCTCCACTGGGCGACTCCTGCAGTGTTGAAATTGAATCATCAACTACGACTCTTCGAGGCTGGCCATCTAACCCATTTGGAATCTGACTGCATTATTAAATTAATTAATTTATTATTATTAAATAAAATTGTGTCCCAAAGGAGTGGCAGTTATCTACAACCACTTCAATTTATAAAAAAGGATAATGGAACTTGTCCTTCAACCGGGCAACGCCACGGGTAAGGTTTATGCCTCTGTCCTGTTTAAAGGATTCAACAATTAGATGACGAGAAATGTGTGCATCACGGGAATCGGGAGGGTTTCATGCCTACTGATAGCTGCCGCAAATATAAATTTCTTATTGCAGTTCATCTTGGATGAAGCCAACTATAAAAGGCAAATGTGCGGGGTGGCCTGACTCGACCTTACGGACACATTTGGCGGAGTTCCACACACGACGATCTAGTGAGCGTTAAAATGGGCCGGTTTGCACGCGGAGGCCGATCGGTACTAGGGCACTAGGACAGTAGGCGCAGCCGTGGAGAGAGTGCCGGACCTGGAGTCAGAGTTAGTCGTTTTGGACAATAAGGAATACACTGGCACTTTAATCCCTTTGAAAATAGGTGCTCTGTCTTCTAATCGTCCTGGGCAGGCAAAAAACTGAGAAATATCAGACAGTTTGTCAGAATCCGGCTCAGGAAGGCTACACACTGCAACCTGCTGATAGTAGGAACACTAGACAGAGGGGCTCCAGATCATGATGTTGTGTTATCCAGATTAAAGATCAGTCTGTGCTCACCTGGTGAGGAAGTTAATGGCCCAAGACTTCATCAGATGGAGCAGAGACATATATACATGGCTTATCAGGCAATACATAAAACACTCTGGAGATCAATAGTGAGAAGCAGCTGTTTTCTCCTTAATTTCTATACAATCTTTACCCAATCAGTTATCTATCCATTTTCTCTACAAGAATAATACAATTTATCAAAAGCTTTGCTAAAATCTAAGTAAACTATACTGACAATATTCCCTTCCTCTCCCAGTTTAGTAGGCAGCTAGATGACATAGTGGATAGAGTTGCAGGTCTGGAGTCAGAAGACTCACCTTCTGAGTTCAAATCAGACCTCAGGCAGTTACTAGCAGTGTGACCCTGGGCAAGTCACTTAACCCTGTATGCCTCAGTTTCCTCATCTGCAAAATGAGCTGAAGAAGGAAATGGTAAACCACTCCTGGTGGCTTGATCTACATCAAGTACGTAAGGTATTCTCTTATTATGGCCTTATTTCTCTTAGGTATCAACTCTCCTAGAGATAGATTTCCATTCTATCATTTGGAGTGTAAAGTTCATTCTCTTTTGCAGAACAAAGCAGAAGTGAGGTAAGAAATGAGAAACTCTGCCTTCTCCCTGGGCTCTAGGCTCTAGGCTCACTCTCCCATATTCCACCTGCACTTTGAGGTGAGGTCCCCAGTGCACCACCCAGCTACGTCCACCCCCAGAGTTCTGGGGGAGACCCCGAAGGGTTGGAGGTATCATTCTTGCTATCTCTCACAAGCCCCCACCAGTGTGCTTCCCCTCATTGATTGTCATGTGATATCACTTAGCTAGATTTAATTAGCTTCTAAAAATGGGTATTTACTAAGATGATATAGCGAAAACAATTGATATAAAACACCTCCTTCCCCCCCAAAAAAAAAAATTAGACACATTCTCCTGCCAGTAAATATAGAGTCATGGGAAAAGTGGGCTGAAGCTTAGAGAGCCTATGTTGCAAAGAAGTAATTCAGCAGTTCCCAGTTGCTGGAAGTCCTTCCTGGGATACTCCTGGATCTCCGCTTAGGTATGTGCCAGCTTTCTGCTAAGTTTTTTATAGTCTTGAAGCTGCCTTTCCCCAGCATGTCTAGTTTGGTTTTGGCTCCCAATGCACTCACTGCCACCCACTGCTGCTGTCCTGGGGATATCGCTGGGATGCTGATGAGAAAAATCTCTCATGCCTCCAAGCTTCTGAAGGTCATACTTCAGTCCAGGTAGGGGAATGGAGGGTCATCTTCATCACCCACCCAGCCACCCCAACTAATTCTCTCTCAGGGGCTTGGCTGGAAGTACTACTCTCTCCTTGCTCTAGATTGGAATTTCTTGGGTTCTGAACCAGTCTGCTAGTTATTTTTTTCTTTTTATTTTAAATAACAGGGCCATTCCAAAACACTTCTTGTGTGGCATCATTATACTTCGTCCAATAGCCTTCACTTTATCCAAATTAATCAAGGACTTTTTACACATCTAGTTAATGTCTTTGATTGGTTGATTCAATACAAAAGTTCAAGCTTTCTGTGATTATTGAGGCAGGGGTATGGTTCACTCCTCTTAAATCTCGTCATTCATCCCATGGAGCAAAGGTTTCATTTCTTCTAGTATTTCTCCCTAAGAAACGATACCAGTGGAGTATGGTCCCAGCAACAGACCAGATGTTTTTGATCAGCAGACGAGCTACTTGATATTTTTTGTTTTTTTCTCCTATCAACCCATGTTTGATCATTGTTTTAAACAAATAAACTTTATCTAGTTTATATCCTTGTCTGAAGAGAAGAAAATTTGACAAGTTTATAAATTGAACAGTCACCATAAGGTAGAATAAGAGATTTGATTCAGGCAATTAAGCCCTTAAGAAGATACCTTGAGGGGAAGCTAGGAAGTGCAGTGGATAGAACACCAGCTCTGGAGTCAGGAGTTCAAATCTGGCCTCAAAGACTTGACACTTAATAGCTGTGTGACCCTGGGGAAGTCACTTAACCCCATTACCTAGCAAAAAAAAAATAAACAGGAAATAAGAGGGGTTGGGAAAGGCTTCCTATAAAACACAGGATTTTGGATGGAATTTAAAGGAAGCAGGGTCTGGCCAGAGAAAATGCCCAGAGCTGAGGGAGGAGTGTTTTGTTCATGGAACACCCGGTATCACTGAATTAAAGAGCACTTGTCAGGAAGTACGGTGTAAGAAGACCCAACCTTGTTATTTCTACATCCATGACCCCTTCACTTGCATACCCAGCAAGCCCAGACTCTCATCTCCTCTTGCCTGAACTATTTCAACAGCCTCCAAATTGGTCTCCTTTATCCAATTCATCTACCACTAGCCACCAAAGGGATTTTCTTGAAGGGCTTTGCAAAGCATCCATGTCACTTTTGTGCTTAAAAAAAACTCCCTACTGCTGGGGCAGCCAGGTGGCACAGTGGATAGAGCAGTGACCGTGAAGTCAGAAGGACCTGAGTTCAAATCCAGCCTCAGACCAAACACTTGACGCTTACTAGCTGTGTGACCCTGGGCAAGTTACTTAACCTCAATTGCCTGAAAGAAAAAAAAATCCCTATTGCCACTAGAACCAAATATAGACTTTTCTGTTTGTCATTTAAAGCCCTTCACAACCTGAGATCAACCTACCTTTCAAGATTTATTACCCATTACTCCCCTTCACAAACTGTGCTCTAGCCAAATGATTCTTGTTGCTATTTGCCATGCAATTTCCTTATCTTTGCACAGTCTGTCCTCCAAGGCTGCCATCCTCCACCCTACTCCCCATTCCCAGTCTCACTCTAGTGCCACCTCCTACATGAGGCCTTTCCTGACCTTTCCCGGCTCCAACAAATTTGCATGTACTTTGTACAAATTCGTGTGTGCCTTTATATGTGTACGTTATTTCTCTCTCGTTCAGTCACTTTGCTGGTGTCAGACTTTTTGTGACTTCTGGTATTCTTGGCAAAGATGAAGTGGTTTGCCATTTCCTTCTCTGGCTCATTTTAGAGAAGGAACTGAGGCAAACAGGGTTAAGCGACTTGCCCAGGATCACACAGCTAGTAACTGTCTGAAGCAGGATTTTAACTCAGGAATAAGTCTTCTTGATTCCAAGCCCAGTCATCTATCCACTGAGCCACCTAGCTGCCCTATTTCTCCCCAATGTTAATTGGGGGGGGGGGTCCAAGCAAGAGCTGGATAATTCCTGTCTTGGTTATTTCCTGTACCCAGTAGTGTTTAGAGCATGGTTGTCCCTTACAAA